AAAAAAAACTACTCCATACTCTTTTCTCTCTATCCCTTTGACAAGCAGTTTCGATTTGGACTTTGACCGAAGCATGAACAATCTTAGTCGATAACCATCATAGTTCGAATATTCTTTCAATATTGTGTTCAACTCAGATACTTCCCTAATTGCAGCCTCAGCAACATCCGGATCAGTGCTATAGTCAGCTTTCGCTGCACCGTCTGGAAGTTCATAGACGAAACATTCGTTTCCGTAATGGCTTGGCGTCGACTCGTTGTCTTTATTTTCCACTTGGCAACATTTGTGAACCACGCTAAACGTTTTGTTAAAATCTTTGTGAGCACCATAATCTTATACTTCTCCTTGCAAGAATTCTTGTAAAAACTTCTTTCTCCTTTCAGTACCAAACGAAGTATTTTTATCTTTGCTGCGATGCTCCGCTCAGTTTCATGGTTCCCTCCTGATATATCTCTGTTTTGACATATCTCATCAAATAGATGATATTAAAGAAAAAAGTTTATTGTTACAAAATAATCTCAAAAAAAGCAACTAACCGCCCAGTGGGAGAGTTCTGTTCAACGTGAGCAACAAAATTGTTTTGCCCACCACAGTGAGATTGATCTTCTTCATATTTACACTTCTATAAAGTACCCTTAATAATGTTGTTAAAATTATAAAATAAGTTCTTATTTTTTTTATGAAAAACAAAAAAAGAAAAAAAGAAAATCAAACAGTGTCCCTGCAGTATTGTATTCTGAAAATTTTTTTCTTTACTCACCTTATAAAACAGATAACAGAACAGCAGCACTCATTTTACGAGCAGTTTCTAACTATATTACCTATGCTCTGACCACTGTTTCTTTAATAGAGGTTAACCATCAACCATCTACAATCAGTAGCGACCGAAAGATTAACTCATACAAACAGTGACCAAATCCACTGCTTTCGCCCTCTCAGTTATGCGTTGAGGAATAAAAGGCAAAGAAAAATAAGACAGAGTAAGGCAGAAAAATGCAAAGGTGGTATGAAACCTACCAAGTTGGTCTTCCCACATATATTCAGCTTTTGGCAATGCATTCTAATAGTATTGTTACCAAAACTTTGTACAATTAGAACTCGGTTGCCGTCACAACGATAGGCAATCCCGACGACCAACGTTGGAATCCACAACAGTAACAGCCAAAAAACCTTCCAACCCATCACGGAAATGCCTGGAAACAGAAATTTCCTTGATAAGTCAAATAAATTAAGAAATGCAATTAAAAGGCGGCGTTTCTGTTCAAAATCGCCAACGTATCAACAACATTTAACAAAAAATATGAATAAACTAAATTTGGTCAAGAAAAAGAACTATTCACCACAAAGGCTCTTAAAGTTTTTGTTTGCTGTTGAACGATATATTTATTTCACCTATTTTCTATTCCATTTTCTGCCATTAATTACTCCTTTTCAGTACTCATTTTAAGTCTTCTTTTTTTCTCAAAAGCAAAAAAAAATTTCCTATTGTTTTAGGTTAAGCTTTTTTGTTTTTGTAAATCCCTTCTTTATATTCAAGTTAAAACTAAATTTTTTTTTCAATTTCCTTTATTCAGTGTATATTCGGATGTTCGGATAAATTTTTTTTCTACTCCATAATTCAGTGACAATGGTTAATCCTTTATTTGTCGAAATACACAAACGCATTTGAAGATACAAATTTTTTTTAAAGAAAGAAAACGCATCAAAAGTATTAAAATAAAAAGAAAACAATTTTTACAGCTTTTTTATTAAGTTAATCGAATAGTTTTTTTTCAGAGTAAAGATTCTCAAAAAAAATTGATTAATTGATAAATTAAAAAAGTGAAAACTAAAGATTCATTATTATATTGCATACAGTAAAAGATTTAATTGTTAACTGGTCCGTAACACTCATTCAGCTATAACTAATCGGATTTTCATTGGTGGGATAGCGAAACAACGAATAGCTGCTGCCGATTACAGTAATCCAGCAGCTAAATTGCAGAAATATTACAGTAAGCCTTATTGCAGCACTATATTATCGCTCGTGTAAACAGCATTTCAGAATTTATCAGTGTCAAATTCTTTGGCCAACAACCACATTTCTTTTATAATTGATCAAGGATAGGAGTATTATAAACAAAATCTGATGTTTCACTAGTAAATTTATCTCACCTGGTCAACTAATTACTGAATAAAAAAACTTGACTGCTTTCAGAAAATTGTATTTGATTAAATTCAAAAGCAAGAAGAAAAATTATATTGTTGTAACCGCGGAACACCATTGCATTAGCGATAAAAGTTATCAGTAGCCAATAATTTACAATATATATTTCTGTTAATTCTTTTACATCATTTATGCAGTCAATGTTTCCTAACTTTTACACCTTATAATCGACAACA